AAATAACATAGCATTTTAAATAAAAGGAATGTCTTATTACGTGATAAAAATATGCTTTTCTTTTAACTTACAGTTATATTGCGATTGCCTGAAATTTATAAAAATAATAATTCGAAAATGGAACACATAAAATTTGAAGCGTCTGCAATTTTATTTGCAGTTCTTTTATTAATTTACTTACCATGGCGTATCAAAATAAAATGGATTTAATGGAAGGTTACTTTATGAACCACAAAGACATATTAGCTTTGCGGTGGTACCGCGAAAGATACCCTGATAGAGACGTACCATCTCATGTGTTTAAAAGGTTAGTGGAAACTTTAAGAAATTTAGGACGTTTTGATATGCGCTTACAGAAACCACAGCAGCGGATGATAAACGTCAAAGATGATGAACTCAACATTTAACTTACTTTGAGGCGTATCCGATTTTATAATAGTTTGTGTTAAATAATTTTAATTAAAATGTTGAATTAAAGTACTTTTCTTTCATTTAAGATGCAATGCTATTTAGCAAAAAATAATACTTATGGTTATCTTAAAATATGTCGTGTTTTTTTCGAAATTTTAAAAAACCTGCTTTTTTAAAAATCTGTAAATGCATTTCTAATTATTATTAAAAATAAAACGATGTCTTCTTTTAGTAAAATATCCTATCTTCAATATTTAATATACTTTCCCCAGAGTAAGTTAATGGAAGGGGTGATTTACCAATAAAGCTTTATAATTATTTGCTTCGAATTTTGCAGAATTATCGTTTATAATTCCAAAACCAAGATTATTGCGAGCTAATTAATAAAGACATTGATGTCGATTCTGGCATGTTTCTCTAAAGCGAAAGTTAAATTTGACAACAGTGTATCTTTGTCATTCGCTATACAGAATGAAAACGACAGACTGATGTTAAATTTAGTTTTAAATTTAGAGAATCCTGCCAGAATCGACACCATTATATACCTACTAGAGAATAATAGATTATTTCTCATTATGTTAATAACCCTTTAGTGACAATGAAGTAATATCGTTAAAATAATCTTTGGAAACAGTATAATTATGAGTTTTTCATTAAATTTCAATAATCATAAATGTCTATTATGATAGTTTATTTTTCATCATTTAATAAAAAGGAACTTATCAGTTTTATTGTAGTATAGGATTAGATACTGCGAGTAGCCAATTTTATAAACACCAAAATTCATCAGAATTTCTACTCCCACCATTGTCGCAGTGTACTACTTTGGCATCGTTGTAACTTTTTAAATATTTGTTGAAAGTACCTACATACTGTAAAAGGCAAAGTTTATCGTCTTTAAACACCAAAAGCGATAAAAATATTTGTTCTGATGAAAATATTTTTTTATTACCAAAGGTGCATTTTAGAAATGATATCAAATAATATTTTATTTTTGATTCACTATTTTAGCGATAATAGCTTACACACTAAAAATAGATATATGCTGTCGCGAACTTTTTTGTAGAACTATTTAAGAGATACATTTCCACTTTACATTACATTCGTGTAACTTTCATTGTTTTTGCAGTGCAGGCCAAAGTGGCTCGCAGGTAAAAGTTTTTTTCCGTCTTACATGACATTAGATTTTTGCCAATTCACTCAATTACTACATAAATTATTATCTATATGTTATTATTATGCATGCGCTATAATATTGCTATTATTATAAGTTTCATTAAAATATATTTACTATTTTTTGGATGAAAGAGTTATAGCAAAGATCCATACAAGCGTAAGATTGAAATTAAAAGCGCAAGTGGTGCCAAAAACGGCACAATAAATTAAAGTTCAAATAACCCGCCAAACATTAAACTGTCATGTTATTAGCTGTTGCATTTTTAATCTGTCATCTATAAAGAAAAAAAAACGAGAATATCAGCCTTTAGTCTGCATTACTAGTATATTTTATCTGTGGAATTATGACAGAGGTTTGAGTACTTAGCGCCAAGCGAAGTTACCGAAGTTCAATTCAAAAAATCCAAGTCCGTTTATTGTATTCTCTCGAGTAAAAATAATATTTTAGCAGGTAAGTTCATCCAAAATATGTGCTTATTATTATTTTACTTCACATTTCAATCATTGACTCGTAAAAACACTTTACAAAAGTATCTTTGTGCCGAAAACGACCCTTCATGCATTTTTAGTACATTTTTTTCCCGCTAAGTGCTTACCTGTACTAACACGTTTCAAAAGATTTATTTGCTTTTTTACTTTACTGGGTGGTTGGTTATTGCATATTGTTGTGTTGCTTTATAGCTATGGATGACAAAAATATAGAAGAGATGCTTCGCATGCTAGAAAGTGGCGAAATTTCTGACGACGAGATGGAATCCGACGGGGAAGACCTAGATTATTATCCGTCTCGTCAAGAGCTTTTAGATGAGTTAGAAGAATCTCCTTTAGAACCATTCAGTGGTGATGGTGAAGACATTGATCCATCTCTTACAGATATGCAAGTTATTGATCCCCCCTTAGCAACTGACGACGCAAATTGTGACAGTAACCCTCCAATAATACCTAATAATTCAACTTCTGAAAACTCTAATTATTTGCCAAGTGGAGGTAGAAATCTACTATGGAGAAAACAAAATCTGGTCTATTCTGAAGACAAAATAACCTTTTTAGGGTCTGAAGAATTAAATTCAAATATTTTGGAATTAAATACACCTTACCAATTTTTTACGTACTTTTTTAATAATGACTTTTTAGAGTCTATTGTTCAAGAATCAAACCTTTACGCAACTCAGAACCAACCTAATAGAGTAGAAACATTTACAGGAGAAGATTTGCGTAAATATTTGGGGATTATCACTTTTATGTCTATTTACCACTACCCCAATATTCGTTCGTACTGGGGCAAATTTGGGTTTGGCCCTATACGAGAAACTATGCCCGTGAATAAATTTGAAAAAATTAGAAGAATGTTGCATTTTAACGACAATTCAAAACATCTTCCAGTCGACCATCCAGACCACGACAAGTTGCACAAATTGCGGCCAGTGGTAACACATTTGAACAACAAATTTTCTAGTGTTACGATTGACCAACGCTTGTCAATCGATGAGCAAATGTGTTCAACAAAAATCGGTCACTTTTTGAAACAATATATGCCCAACAAGCCTCACAAATGGGGTTTCAAATTATTTGTTCTCTGTAGCTTACTGGGATATTCATATAATTTTATAATATATGCGGGTAAAGAAAAAGATGACGAGAGACTACCAAGTGAACCTGACATAGGAGTTGTTGGACAAACTGTCATGAGGTTGATCAGGGTGGTTCCAAGACAAAAAAATCATATCGTTTACTTCGATAATTATTATACGTCGTTGCCCCTAATGTATCATTTGGCCACTGAGGGAATCCATTCTTTAGGAACCATACAGCGAAATCGTTTGGGAAAAAGTTGTAAATTGCCTGATAAAAAAGACGTAATGAAAAGTTCTGTACCTCGAGGAACATATGAAGAATATGTCACCAATTTTGATGATGTGGACATTGCTGCAGTTTCGTGGAAAGACAATAAACAAGTTACCCTGGCATCTACTTACGTAGGTGCAGAACCTGCGGGAACAATCAATAGAAATGATAAAAAATTGAAGCGTAAACTCGAAATTCCTTGCCCCAAACTCGTAAAAGAGTATAATGCACATATGGGAGGTGTCGACCTTATGGATTCTCACCTTGGCAGGTATAGAATTCGTATCAAAAGCAGAAAATGGTACATGAGAATTTTTACCATCTGTTGGACCTCACCATCATCAATGCCTGGATTCTTTACAGAAAAGTAATGGGTAAAAGGGGGAAAGCCAGCAAAGATATCATGAATCTTGCAGACTTTCGTTCTCAATTAGCAGACACAGTTTGCAAATATTCCACACCTATACCTAGGGGTCGACAACGTTCTACATCAACTGCAGAAGCTGGCCCGCCTCCCAAGATACGGAAAGGAAAGCCCTGTCAAGTTTTACCCCCAAATGACGTTATACTCGATGGCTTGGGCCATGAACAAGTAAGAACACCTAATAGGATGAGATGTATGTTTCCAACCTGCAATTTGAAGACAGTAGTAATGTGTGCGAAATGTAAAATTCATTTATGCGCAAAAAAAAACAAAGACTGCTTCAATGACCTACACAAAAAAAAAATCCATTTAATGCATGTAGTGCCGAAAACGGCACATGTTGATTTTTGCTAAATATATACATAAAAAATTAAATCTGATTTTTTTTATTATTTTTTGTCGAACCTAATCACAATATTCTATAAAAAACTATTTTTTTCAAATTAAAATAAAAGGTCATGCATTTAAGGGTTAAGTCGTTGTAGATCTTAAACAGTCATATAAAATGAAAAATGACGTAAGAAACCTTGGGTGTATTCCGAAATATACATCAGTATACTGGCCAGTAGTAATGACGTCACGAATCCGACGCCATATTGTACTGGTATGCTATCATATTTTTACCGGGAAAACGAATATGACGTATGAGTATAACCGAGCGTGCGTGAGATGCATTCGAATTTTATTTCTTTTTTATTTAAAGAACAAAAATGCAAAAAAAAGCCTTTTAATTGATGAGGTGAATAAAAAAATCTTAATATTTCGTCGATTTATGACGTCAATGCACTGGCCAGTATATTTCGGAACAATTCATTTGTATAGCGTCGATTCATGACGTCATTAGCACTAGCCAGTATACTGGTATATATTACGGATACACCCTATATCATGATTTTCGATTATCTAGCTAGACAATGATACCCCACTCGGCATATTTTGTCAACCTTTTTTTTCTTACAATATGGCGCCTAATTATGTTTATATTCAATTTTAATTACTATCATATCTTTAGTTGCACTCCCATGATTAAGACGAAACGATTTAAGTATAAAAATCGGTCAATGCGTTTGCATTGCGCAGTCGGGTAAAAAGTAAAATACATATTTAGCATTTGTGTATAGTAATTTTCCGTCTTCCTTTTTAGATAGAAAACTTGTATCAATAGATGTTTTAAGGCCTAGTGTTGAAGATAGAGATGGAAATTTTCGCTATTGTGTGTACAAGGATTTGTGGGATAAGGGCCATCATGTCACCAATGGATTGAAATTTGGTTCAGATTTTCTAGTATATCCAGGTAAAATATATTTTAATAATACTAGTTGTAACAATATAAATCTATATCTACAGTATTCTTAAATGAAGGAAGAGTGTGCACTAAAAAGAATGAAACAACATTATTTTTATAACCCAAAAGCTATAATTATGTATGTATAGTAATCAAATACAGCAAATAAAAATAATGAGAGTCTTTTAGTAGTATTTATAATGAGAATAGAGCAGAAATGAACGGTAAAGAAATCATTTAAATAAAATATGGCTGTGGTCAATTTGCCATCATTTTGTAAGCAGCAATATATGGTGAAAGGACATTGTTCAGCGTCCATACATAGTTAGCCTAAGAACCAACAATCATGAAATGTCATTGTCTAGGTTCAAAATCGTAAGTAAATGACTGTAAAAACAAAGATTATTGACAGACACTTCTGAGAACTTAAATTATTAGGAAAAATAAACATTTTTTGAGGTTATGTTTAATATTCAATGAAACATAGGTCAACCTATGAATTTAGTATAAACTCAGTATGAAGTGAATTAATATTACAACTAATTCATTTTACTCGGTTCGATTTTAAAGAATAACTATTAGAAAAAACTTGGTTAGGTACCAGGAATCATGAATAAAATAAAAACTGTAGTTATGCTTCTTATTTATTGACTATTTTTCACATAATTGTATCATATTGTATTTATTTGTATATCACATGTAGGTTTATTGTGTAAATATGTAGCGTGAATGTGTATCAGGTGTTCTTGAATAATTTGGCAGTATGATCCTCTCAGGATGTTGTGGCACAGGTTCACTAGCACTTGGTATTAAGGGCTCTACTCTTTGATAACTTTTGATATGGCTGTAACTGTAAATTTGTTTTGTGTTTGTTTGCAGTGTCGTACAGATAAATTACCTGAATTCTAAGTAACTATTTTACTTGGTTTGTACCCATAATAGTGGTTATGGGTAGTCATGCTCTCTTAAAAATCTCTTCGGCGGTGTCGTGTGAGGCGGGTCGTTGCGTTCCCTACAATATGGTTGAGCGAAACGATGGCTGGTTCATGCGTCATGCTCGTGAACGGGTGCTGCCAGCGGAGATGAGTCTGCTCTATACTACTTTATTATTATTATAATGATAATTGATTATTTAAGTTAAATTTAATTTGTAATTGTATTTATACTGTGTGGCACAGCAGTCAGAAACAAGAAATTTAGGTGAACATTTGTTATTTCTGAGATAAAGATAATGGTGGTGTGGATTCTGGCATGGTTCTTTAGACCTGAACTTTGGTTTTGCAGCGGTGTATCCTTGTCATTCTCTATACAGAGTGAAGGGGGGGCACTGATGTTGGGTTTGGTTTTGGGTTTGGAGGGCAGTGACAGAGTCGACACTAGTGTTTAGGTAACCACATGCATGTGTCCTACAGTTGTGTTTATAGTTTTTTATAGTAATGTACACTGGTACTTAATTTTTTTTTCCCCCTATTTGCTACCTAGTATCCATATGTGGTTATGGGTAGTCATACTCTCTTAAAAATCTCTTCGGCGGTGTCGTGTGAGGCGGGTCGTTACGTTCCCTAAAAAATGGTTGAGCGAAGCGATGGCTGGTTCATGCGTCATGCTCGTGAACGGGTGCTGCCAGCGGAGATGAGTCTGCTCTTGCTACATTGGGTACTATTAATCGTTGTATTTAACTTTAATGGTACATTTGTTTTTATGCTTAAACAGTGGGACACGGCATTCCTAAACTTTTTTTCATTTTTAAATCTGTTTTTTATATTTTTTATTTTATAGTCATAATTGTTTTATCATTTACATTTGTAATGGAAAGTGACTTCATGGGTTATCTCATATTGAACTCATTTTTCAAATTGACGACTCTGTATATAATACAGGGAGAAAAAAACAGCCCTTGCTGAGTTTCTTGCCGGTTCTTCTCAGTACAAGGTCTCCCGCCGTAGATTTGCGAACCGATGGCGTAGCTTTTCGACATTCACAAGTGCTTGTAACAGCCTAGACTGAATAAATGATATTGAATTTTTGATTTTTTTTTTTTTTTTTAACATCGATGGCAAATTAGATAGCCGAAATAGTTTAATTAAAGGAAAAACAATCGCAAATAAACACACACAACAGGTAATCCGAAACGAGAATGCACTTTCCGGTATATTAAACTACTCTTTGGAATGCACGAATGCCACAGATTATTAAGAATGCAAACTGCATGCACCACAACCACAGAGTAACGAGTTTTATGCCGGCCCTTCACTTGACAACAGTTTGTCCTTGTCATGCAAGGTAGTTTTCCAATTACAGCACAAGAGTGCATTATGCGGCATAATGCTTATCGTTCAATGTTTCAACTACAGCAACGCTTCGCACAATCGAGCACTCTCAAAAGTAATGTTTTCGTGTGATTCGTGCAATCGTACCAACTCAGTGACAGAAAATTAACAAGTATTTTTTCTTTAAGTTGGCATTGATCGAAATGTTTTATTTATAAGTTATCGTTAGTAATATTATTTATGTTGAAAAATTTTGAAAGCTTTTGTTTCATTGTAGTTTTTTTTTTTTAATAATCAAAGTTAATGCAAACTGTGTTTAAAAAAATATAAGTATGGATAAAGGTACAAACATTGACTTTTTTTTCAACACTGAACTTAGCGCACTCTGCTGGTTCATTTGAAAACTAATTCACGTTCCAATTAAGTATCAGCATAATTTGGCATTGAGCACCACTGTGTCGCATTATGCTCTGTAATTGGAAAACTACCTTAATAAGGAATGAAAAGAACAGACTGATGTCATGTTTTAAAATAGCAAATACGAATAGCCAAGTGAAGTGCCGGCATTAGGAAGAAAGAGTGTTTTGTTTGCAGCGCTGCCATAGATTATACACATAAAATGGTATTTATTGTCTCAGATTATTAATTACTTTTTAATTTAGCTTACTTAACTGGAAGTGTCCGTCACAATCTAAATACTGATAATTATCGCAAAAAATATACTAAGAATTATCATAAATGCCAAATTGATGTTGGTTCTTAGGCCAATTTTAACATTGTCCTTTAATGTTTTAATGAAACTTCGTGAGATTGTTGGGTTACGTGTATAGAGTATGCCTGATTTTTTTCAGATTTTTTGGAAGTATATTTTTTTCATGTATTTATTTATAATTTGTGTATTTTTATGTCCTTTCCTCCTTTCCTTCCTTTTAGTCCAGTAGTTATTCATTTTAAACAAACAAACTTACACATCCAGTGAAAAAAAACTAATAAATAAGCACTTCTAAAAAATGGAAAAACATTAAAATTTCACCGCGGGTCAACGACCGACCTCGCCCGCCAGCCGTTGAGTGAGTAGGTACCTCTACACAGAGTTCAGCTGACTCCTTTGATTCCACACAATACAATAAAGTCGTCTTAGATGCCTTTATTGAAATTGAAATAATAAGCACAAATGTCATCTAAGCAGAGAAAAACTTTAAAAGTTAATAATTATTTTGTCACGATTGGAAATAGGCAAATGTTAAACAAAAAGAAATACTTATTCCAGTTCAATACTTGGGTCAGAATGAAATTTATAACCAGGTATTCAAAAGTACTTACGAGACCGATGTACCTATTCATTTTTTTCACTTTTACTTCCCGTATACACTTTGTAAACACAATCAATCACTTTCGTAAAGCCTTGTGGCTCTGCTGAGTATTCCGTGACACTACAATAACAACACACCATATCCAACTTCTTATATTGAGGCCACAGAACAAGAACTAATCATGGCATTATTTGCAAATCTTCTCTTGTCACAAATTTAAAAGATACGCACGCGCGTTGGACAAACTTGACACTGCGTTCGCTCACTGCGCTTTGCACCGCGCATAGGTAGGTATTCAACCGATTCAACGGCGGGAGCGGTCATTGCTCCCGGCCGCTCGTCTTCTGTTTTTACGTTTTTTTAGTAGTGCTTATTAGTTGTTTTTTACTTACTCTGTATGCGTGTTTAAAAAGAATAATTATTTAGTACCCAAAAGGAGGAAAGGACTTAAAATATAACAAAAAAAACGAAATTTGATTTTAAATCATTTTTAAAAAGTCCGAAAAAATTCAGAGATACTCTATATACGTAACCCAACAATCCCACGAAGTGTCATTAAAACATTCAATTTCGCCCTATATATGGCAGTTTTTAAAGAAGGCTGGATGGATAATGACTGTATTTGTGACTCAGTTGTTAATTAAAAATTTAATAACATTTTGTATTGTGGATCTAATTAAAAAATAACTGTTACAGGTGATCCTGTCAGATTTCATGCTACATACATGGTGCGCTGTATTTATGATAAAGCAACTCCGTTTCGTCCCGCCAATTTAGTAGCCTTTGGAAGATTATCAGTTGCAGTTAATAAACTAGCAGTGTTAGCATTTTATAATAGCAGTGAAAAAATCGATTATCAAACTTTACAGTGGCATGATGGTGTTAATATTTGAAAATAAATAATTCATTGAACAAAGACTCAAGATTTATTTTCTTCCTTACTGAGAGCAAATTTTCCTGTCTAAAGCTCTGTGTTCCTAGGAAAATTAGCGGCCGTAATAATAACTGAGGACATGTGGAAAATTCCATGGCTGTTGGACAAACCGTCGGCGTCGGTCATCTTTTTTGGTTGCATACGAAATCTATTTTAGTTTCGTGGTCCTCGCTGCGCCAGTTGGAATTGAACTTATTTTGTACGTCGTTCCGCACAGTTAGCTAAGAAGAGTTTGACTGGGGGGTGTTTATGCATCCACCGTATAGTCCTCACCTTGCACCTTCAGATTTCCACCTGATTCGGTCTCTTCAGAATTCTTTAGGCAAGAACCTCCTAATTTGACTATAATCCGTACTGCCATGTGCAAAGTTTAAATTTTTGCTACTGTCAGTCAGAGCTTGATTTACAAATAGGCTAAGCCTGACCCTTTTTTTAAATTATACCGTGAGGAAAGTACATGACGCCTGACGCGCGGCGAGTTTATGTAGGACTGTCCTCCGAGGATACATCCAAAGGAACTGTGAAGAGACCACATCTCTACAATATTGTCTATTGGTTGTTGCTAAAGCTACTGACTTGTTATCATTCTGTGTCACTTATTATATTAAATAAAAATACGTCTTTACTTTGCATACATCTTTATTTAAATCAACGTTTATTAAACTTAAAATGGTAGCAGAACAGAAAAAAATCTAATATTTTTTTTGAGGTGAAGTGTTAAACTCGCGCAACGACGACGATGCCGAAAAACGACATATCACATCGAACCTTTAGATAAAGATAACTATGATACCTGGGCGATACAAGCTGAAGCTGTGCTAGTCAGAAAAAATCTTTGGAAGTATGTAACTAACGCACTACCTCCAACTGCAAGCAGACTATCTTTAGCGAACTATCGATCTTTTTGCCGAAATGTCGTCATGCATGGGGAACAACACCATGAAAGCGCTATACCATACTTAAGTATCTATAGAACTTTTGCTTACGCTGGGCATAACGGGCTAGAGCGATAGTGGCACTCTATAGTTTAATGTATACTCTAAGGCAGTGGTTCTCAAACTTTTTAAATGACGGAACCCTTTTGGGAAGCAAAATACTTGATGGAACCCTACAATAAAACAATTATTTTTATAAGTGTATTCTATATTAATCAGCATAATAAAAGTACAATGTATCCGTTACTAATTATTATTTACTTCACCACTTGGTAAGGACAATAATAGAAAACATTAAAAAAGAAAAAATCTAACTAGTGGGAGGTATGAAACTGTTTTTTATTTTTCATCAATTGCTTGATATCAGGTTTGATGGAAGAAAGTTGGAGTCTCATATCAGCTTCGGCGTCCAGTCTATTGCGATATTTTGTTTTCGTGGCTGCGTAGGTAGAGAATCCTGTTTCGCACAAATATGTAGTTGGGAACGGGAGAAGAATATCCAGAGCCATTTGGCCAAGCATTGCATATTCATCTTGGATTCTGCACCAAAAATCATTAAGAGGCGTCGTTTTGAACAATGACTCCATACTTGTGTCTGATGACATTTCTAAAAGAGATTCATATATCTCATTTGACATGTTTTCAGGCTTTTCCAAGTTGGGTAAAAAAGGATTATGAATCCAGGAGTTCACTTTAATTTTTGTATTGTGTTCTTCGGGAAAATACTTTTCAAAAGATGCGCGCATCGAACTGAGATATTGGACCAATTCTTCAAACACATTATCTTCAAACATTTCTGAGTCGTTTTCGCTAACAAACTCAGTGAGTAACGTAAAACTTTCTATTTCTTTCTTACCAATGCAAATGATCCAAAAATCTAATTTTCTTTTAAAAGTAGTTATTTTATTATAGGCCTGAAACACTGTTGTCTGTTTACCTTGCAATGATAAATTTAATTCGTTAAGTTTTTGAAAGATATCCGCCATAAAAGACAATCGGAACAACCAAGTTTTATCATACAAACGGTCCTTCAAATTAAAAGAAGTATCTGCTGAAAGAAACATTTGTAACTCGGCTCTAAGTTCAAATAGCCTTGTTAAAGTTTTTCCCCGAGACAGCCATCGCACTTCTGTATGGAGCAGCAGTGTTTTATGTTTGCTGCCATAATCTTCACACAATAATGAGAACAATCGGGATTGTAGTGGTCGTGATTTGATAAAATTAATTATTTTTACCGCTTCATCCATAACTAATTTTAGATTAGACGGCATTTGCTTCATCGCAAGTGCTTGTCTATGCAGAATACAATGACTGGAACTACAATTAGGCGCTTTATTTTTCATTCGTGACACTGCTCCTGCTGTTTTACCTGTCATCGCCTTGGCCCCATCTGTACAAATGTCAATGCAATTGTTCCAACTGAGATTATGTTCTTCAAAAAATATATTTATTTTATTAAAAATTTCTTCCCCGGTAGTGTTTGTAAGCAGCGATGAACACATAAGCATGTCTTCTTCAAAAGAACTTTTATATGGATATCTCACAATAACCAGCAGGATAGCCAAACCAGCGACATCAGTCGACTCGTCCATTTGCAAAGCGAATCGTGTATTTTGTAGACGTGTAACTAGTTCTTGTTTGACGTAGCTTGCCAGATCATGGATTCGTCGTGAAACAGTATCGTTTGATAGCGGAACAGTAGAAAGATGCTTTGCAGATTTTTCATCAAGCATACATTTTGTTATGTCTAATACACATGGTTTTATTAATTTCTCAGCGATAGTGTGCGCTTCACCTGCTTGTGCAATGCGATAGCTAACTAAGTATGATGCCTCCGTGGCCTTTTCGTTGGTAGTTTGTGTTACATGCATCATATTTTTTTGACTTTCTAATAACTGATCTTTTTTGCGAACAAAAAATTCTTTATTCTTGTCTTTAGTCTCGGGGTGTACGGTTTCTAAATGTCGACGCAATTTGGCAGGTGCCATGGAACTATTAGGAAGCAGTTTACTACAGAGCATGCAGAGAGGTGAGCCGTTGGAATCAACAAATCCGAAACTGATATAAGATTCATCATACTTCCTTTTTTTCGTCTTTGAAACCGTCGAGCTTGACGTCGTGGCACTCGTGGCATCATCTTCTGGATCGGTGATTGCTTAATTCTCCGCGCGCATTGCTTTTGAACATTCAGCGTCATTAGAAGATGTTGTTGGAACACGTTTAACACCTTTAAGCCAACGTTCCATTCTTCTTTATTTATAATGTTACAAGTCAGGATAGTGGGGTTTAAATAATGCACAATCGTTACTGCGTATAAGAGACTAAATTTAGAACCTACAGGGAAGAAATGTATAAAACTGAGACAACAGAATACAGCAGGCAGTAAAACAATGAACACCAGTTTCTCGCTAGCGAGCTTGTAAGTAGGTAGTAACTTATCGCTCCGAACGCTAATCATCAACTGACGACGCCAACGCGCGATCGCCGCTTTTATACTTAGTCCTAGACTCGATCTCAAATATTCTCGAAAATACTCGAGTCGGCACCTTTGATAAACAAAAAGCAAAAATAAAAACAGAAATTTAAAAATAGCGTTGTAAACAATATCGACTTTATCCTTTGAAGTTAGAGACGAAAGTCGCTAGTTGACAACTATAGCGTCTAATTCAGAGGCGGCTTTTATCAAAGAGACTGAGCGCTTACAAGTATACTACCCGCTCGTTTTAAGTTTGCCGCTGGCGATAGGTATGAGTGTATGACGTTCGAAATTTTTTATTTAATTGTAACAATAAAAATTGTGTACGTTAGATATTTGGGTAAAACTATGACACATTATAAGTTTTGTTGTCACGTGGGGGAGGGTACGCGCATTCCACAGACCGGCAAACTTAGAGCGAACGCGTTGTACAAGTATAAAATTGTTGAGACCAAACTTATGAGATATTGTACCAGCTAATGTAACACAAGCTTATACAAATACAAATAAATAAATAAATAACATTCATAGCGTTTTGTCTCCGCGCGGCCGCGGAGTCCGCACAGCCGCGGAGCGACCAGAGAGAGGTGTTTTGATTTTTTTATTTCTAAATTCTTGCGGAACCCCGACAGAGGTATCACGGAACCCTAGGGTTCCGCGGAACACACTTAGAGTATAGCTGCTCTAAGGTCATAAAACGCGATAAAATTCTTCTGGTTATATTTCGCGCGCTTTGTTGACAGCGAGACTTCATTATCTTCATATTTAGTAACGTATTGTAAGAAAATAGGTAATGGATTGGCGTTATGATTGAATTTAAGAATTCATAACAAATCATGAGTAAGAACCAGTTTGGTGGAACCCCATATGTGTCAAAAAAATCTAATTAGGAAAGAAAAAAAACTTCCGCCTAAATGAAAGAAAATATACTAATAATAAGGCTGTTAGGTTGGAGCTTTCATTGCCTTCTCGTATAGGGAGAATAACAAAAAAGACTGTCAAAACGAAAAAAAAACTAAGTTTTTTTGGCGGTATTTGATCCAGTGTGGTTGGCATTTTAATTATTCTTAAATTCGTTCATAGTGGATATTGTGAAATAAAATTGGTGAGATTTTGTGTTACAACTGTCTGCGTAACTAAAGAATTAGTAGAATCGTCAAAATATACGCTATTCCGGTCAAGTGGACGTGAAAATTTTATTGTAGTATTGACTACCTCACAGAAGCTTATCGAAAAAGCCAGCTCGATACATTTCGTGCTAAACACTTCAAGAAACATTAGAATGCGTCACACCGACATTCTAATGTAAAAAGAAAAACTGAATAATTTAACTTAAGACTAGGTTGTATGGGCATTGTTCCCTTTGCCTTCCTTGAAAAGGGAGAATTTAACAAAAAAAAAAAAAACTAATAACCAGTAGGCCTTGTTTATAAAAATAATCGCAAGATTTAACTTTAAAGTACAGTTATGGCAGATCCAGAATTAGAGAAAATCAGGCAGCAAAGACTTGCACAACTACAGGCTCAACATGGGGTAAGTGTAATCGATGTGAAACCTATCTACTATCTGAGTCATTTTTAGGGGTTAGAACCAATATACTAAATAAAAAAAAGAAAAGTTACTACATTTCTGTTAAATGTATTACAGGGAGGAGATCCAAACCAAGCTAAAGCCCAAGAAGAAAAAATGCAGGCTATGGAGGAGGCCAAGCATTCAATTCTTAGTCAAGCACTCAGTCAAGATGCTAGAGCCAGATGTAATAAAACTGATTATTTGTGGAATAGTATTGATTCAAATAGTTATATCGAGCTGCTGAAATGAAAAACCCGTTTGCAAACTTATAGTAAAGAGTAATTAGTATTGCCTTTTTAATTTATGTATTGTCTATTTTACAGTGAATATAATCAAACTCGGCAGACCTGAAAAAGGTGCAATTGTGGAAAATATGATCTGTAGAATGACACAAATGGGACAAATACGCAGTAAAATATCAGAACAGGAATTGATTCAGCTAGTGGAGTCTCTTAATCAACAAATGCCTAAGTCATCGAGCACTGTTAAATTTGACAGAAGAAGAGCTGCCCTTGATTCTGATGATGATTTGTAGCAGACTGAAACTAGTCTTTAAGTTTGTCAAGCTTTTAATAACTTTTAACACTTTAACTTATAAAATCTTTTTGAACTCATAACAAATTCACAAATGTTAAACATCCTTGAAATTGCTTTGTATTTTTGTTTCTTTATTATATAAAAATATCTTATGTATTTTTTTATTTCTTAAATCAACACCAATCCACATTCTTGACCTTTTCCATGGGTTCAAGCTTCTTTTGTTTTGATTGATGTTTTTATTCCACTTTATTCACTTCAAATTTGTTTTCCTATTTGTGTATTTTTTTCCACTACCAGGGGGCCATTCGCCTAACGGAAATGCTTTGGAAAACGCTAACGCTTACGATTTCATTTTGTTATTTCTAGCCGCCTGAGGTTTTCAAATGCCTCGCGCTCTTTTTTTTTCTTTGCATTGGTAATAACAATATTAAAAAAAAATAAGCGAAATCGAAAGCGTTAGCGTTTTCCAAAGCAGTTCCGTTAGGCGAATGGCCCCCTGGGCTACCATTCCACGCGTTGGCAATGTTGTTTGTAAACAAAATTGTGAACAAGTGGAATGGTAACATTGTAATGTCTTGGACATTGTAAAAAACAATCAATTTGGTTATAATATCTTGAACGTGCTGGTAATGCAACTACCTAGTTTGTGATATAACTTCAACCCATCCATATTTATACTTTTTTTTTAGTTTTTAGTTTTTCAGGGCGGTTTCTACACTTAGTCCTAATCATTGGACCATTGGGTGAGTCTTGAAACATTCCCGTTTACTCCAGCCAGCCTAGGTTAGTCCAGAAGGAAAGCAGCTTTGATAGACTGCTGCAAGCTTCCGGAAGCGATGCTGGCGACTGGAGAAGTCATGCCTGTTGGTCCGACACACTCCTGCATTCCATAATGACATGCTGTGGCGTTTCTTCTGCCTCAATACATCCTCTGCATAGGGGTCGCTGTCTGTTACTCCTATTGTATATAAGTGCTTGTTTAGGGGACAATGACCAGGGGGCCAATCGCCTAACTGGATTGCTTTGGAAAACGCTATCGCTTACGATTTCATTTTGTTATTTCTAGCCCCCTGAGGTTTTCAAATGCCTCGCGCTCTTTTTTTTTCTTTTGCATTGGTAATAACAATGTTAAAGAAAATGAGCGTGAGGTATTTCGGCGGTTAGAAATAACAAAATGAAATCGTAAGCGATAGCGTTTTCCAAAGCAATCTGGTTAGGCGATTGGCCCACTGTTAGGGTTCCTATAATTATGCGGAGTTTGTCCCTATTAAGTCTGGTAAGGGTGCGGGCAAGTCCCTTGTTTGCCGCCGGAGCTGCGTTTTTCGTTTGATCCTTCACGTTAGGGGCCGTAGTTAGTATCAAGGATGCTGCTTTCGCTAGTTTGGATTTGACTGTGGTAAGTTGGGTCCTGGATCACGAAACAACTGAACCTTAGGTTACTGAGGGCCTGATGACTGCTGTGTATAGCCAAAGAGTGATCTTTGGACTTAGACCCCATTTTTTACCAACAAGTCTTCTACACTGATTAAAAGCTATGCAGGCCTTCTTTGTTTTTAATTCAATATTAATCGCCCAGTTCAATTTGTTATCAAGGATTACGCCCAGATATTTCACTTGTGTTGATAGGGACAGTTTGGTATTAAACAGTTTTGGTAACTGTAGTTCGGGTAGCTTCCTTTTGTTGGTGAAAATCTAGACTGAAGCTAGTACCAGGACTGTTTCATTGTCTGTGGGGATCGTCACAGCTGTGAGGTCTCTAGAACAGAATTGGTTAAGCATGGTTTTTATGGACTTAGGTACAAAAATGCATGTCCTTGGTTTATCGATAAATGTGTTTATGTTTAACTTACCACCTATGTTGTTCAGACCGCAGATTCTGTTGCTGATCCAGGCGACTTCCTGGATCAGGGCGACGGTCTTGTTGTTCGTCTCCAGCACCCTGCGTAAAGTGGCCGCCGCTATTTGCTTGTGCTGGAGATTGGTCTGTATGATGTATATGCGAATAGGAACTACGTAGGACGCCATCTTCATCGCTGACGCAGTCCTCCGAGATTAGACTTGCTCCCATTTCCATCTCGCTTGTTCCCGGTTGGAGAGCTGAGGTGGTTGCTACCGGCATCGCAGTGCCTTCCTGCTCTGTAGTCGCTTTTGGTGTTGCTACTGTCAGGTCAGCCGGTATTGCTTCGTCTGGCGCGAAAAAGCGCATGTATCCGCTGCCAGTCATGTGTGCAACACGGCGTTCTCTGTCCAATGGTTTGTTTCTGGTCCTCGGGGATTCCCAGGATTAGTAGAAGGCTCCTTGGAATTACTCTCCGGCTTGTCGTCAACGGTCAAGTAGCACTGCCAGGAGTCAACCATGTACCAAGGGTTCTGGGCACAAAGGACTCGCTGTAGTGTGGTAGACTCGGTGATTCGGGTATGAAGAAGAAGCCCAGCTCTGAGCTTCTTCTTCATATCCGACAACTTGATGACCATTAACGTGGTGTTTTGGATGGTTTTCACCGTTTGCTCGAGCTACTTCAGTGCGTTATCGTCCTTACACCGCATCGCTAGCACCCCATCCAGGAGGAAGGGTCGCCCGCGGAAAGATGGGAACTGCGCATTCGGAGACTGTGGAGTCAGAACAGCCTGTAGATCCCCATCCTCAATGGTCTCCCTCAGATGTTCCGCCTGCTCAGCCTAGAGGTCGCTCGGCGGAACGGTGGTAATCGCTACTCTCAGATGCGATTTACTCGCATCTGCGTAGCTCACACAGGCTGCTCCTTTTCAGGAGCAGTGGGAGCCTTCGCAGCGATCCGCCGAGCACGAAAATCCGTCGGTTTCGGTCTCCGCTGTTGTTGTTTATTTGTGTTTGATTTGCCGGCCCTCTGTATTTCTACAGGCTCGCGCTGTGTTGCCTGTCTTTGTTTTTATTTGTGGTGGACTACAGGGCTTCCCTTCTCGTGCGCCGGTTGGGGTGATTGCGTTCCGTTTGGCTCTGCGAGCCTTTGTGTGGGTGACTGTGGGTGGCTGCCGCATTAGCAGACTCCTTTTTGCAGGGGCGCTTATGGGTGACCACAGACCACTGTGTAGTTGTCTGTGTTGGGGTCACTGTTTGTGTGTGGCTGTAGTTATTGCCTCATCTAAGCCAGACAGGTCCAGGCTTGCGCCTTTCCCTGAGCGCTGTTTGTGTCCCCCCCCCCCCCCCCCCCCTCCCCAGAGTATGTGGGACAGACCAAGCTAGGCTTGGTGAGGGATTCTTCGCTATTCGCGATACCCTTAGGGGTACTGTATCTCTTTTAGCAGCACTCATGTTGGTTTGGGGCTTTGGCGGGAAGTGCCAAGTAACGCACACGACTCCTGCTCAAGGGTGTGTGGTACAATCTTTTAGGGTGTATTTAGTTCCCCTAGGTCATGTGATCCCTCTTGTGTTTATGCGCCGCCACGATTCGGCTATGCGGGATTTGTGGTCCGGTCCAGGGGTTTTTGTTACGTCAATTACAGAAGGTATTTGACCAAAAACGAGCAGCAACCTCGTGAAGGATAGTCTTCTGGCCTTGATTAGGGGATCCCTGCGACTTGCGCTACTCCTTAACCCGTTCGCCAAACCCAGTATCGGACAGATACTGAGAGTAGGTGATCATCAAGCAAGTTTCTTGTTTGACCATAAATCTCTCTCTCGATAAATAATAAGTTTAAATATAAACTGCTATAAATACTAATTTATACTAATATTATAAATGCGAAAGTGTCTGTCCATCTGTCTGTTACCTCTTAACATGTAAACTGCTAAACTGATCTAGATGAAATTTTGTATAAATATTGTGAGTCACGGGAAAGGGCATATCTTTCACAATATTAATCCATTTGTGGGGATATAAAATAACAAAAAAAGTTTGAGATCACTTGCTAAAGGATATATTTGAAAAATTAACTTAATAGAAAATGTTTACGTTATGTTTTTTTTTATTTAAAAATACACTTTCTGAAATTAAAAAATAAAACTAATTTTATTTTTTAGTATAAAAAAATTTAATAATTCAATCCTAAGGCGATTGTAATAGAACTTTGATAGAAATGAAAAGATAGTTTAACCAAACTTAAAAACCTTTTATTAATAAATTGTTGTTTATCTAATACAAAATAACTCCTTCTCTGGCTCGAACACATGCGGAGATCCTCCTGGGCATGCTGAGGATCAAGTTATCTAGCATTTCTTGTGGTAACCTGTACCAGTCCACGGTAATATTATATAGATAATATTACCGTGCCTGTACCATTCTTGAACAGCAGCTTCCCTGAGCTGCAGCACTGTCTGGGGTGGTAGCTTCCGGTTCGTAAACAGTGATTCGTTATTCGGTTATAAAACATATTTATTCTTATTTTGTTTATAGGTAGAAAAAATATTTGAAAAATAATTGCTATGATTGCACCATTTACAATACTTACTAGGCTGGTAGCAGCCCGATTGATAGGTGGAAGTACTCTTTATTCGAGTTTTATACTACGAATAAAAAATGGTTGACCAGAAGTCTGCGACTACTAACTGGTGAACGCTTTAAAGAGGGTCGACAAGATGTAAATCTGTACATTAAAAAAAAAATTTTTTTGGGTGATAAATTGATAATAAATGGGATTGCTATGGTGTTATACCAAAAATGCTATGAAAATTTTATTCTGCGTCATTAGTTTAATCAAATATTAAAAACTTTGCTTTGGTGATTGTGTAATTATTTAATTTAGCGATCTAAGGCAGTTGCCACCTGTGTCTAAAACAACAGACGGGAATCATTGCTTCCGTCAACCTGCGACATTAACGTCATTGATTGGTATTGTATAGGTATAGGGTGATAAACAACATTTTGAAGTTTACCTCTGTCATCTACATATTTGGTTTCTGTGAATGATGTAGGTAAAACAAATTATGAGACTAGGATATGACACTGCATTTGTGTATATCACAATCTTAAAGCAGGATGTTGACAATGCAGCCACTTGAGGCCCGTCTTTAGCCTTGACCCTGGTGGTATTGTCAATAATGGATCCAATTTTTCAATTATGGGTCCCGACTGTTAAAGTAGCTTTGTTCCTTATTCATACTGATAGACTACTGGACTTGTTGTTTACTTTTCAGTTTTATATTTTAAGTGATATGTAAGTAGTCGGGTTTTTTGATTTTTTAAATTCTATATATATATATATATATATATATATATATATATATATATATCTTCAAAAATTTATAGTTTTTATTCCAGAAATCACCTTTTGAGGGGGCGATAAGGGGGGTAAAGTTTGTTTTCATGCAAAGGAAAATCTACGGCACCCACTAGTGTTCTTATATTTTACACTACCATAAATGTTTGAATTGATCTTTTTTATAATCAAAGGTTAAAAAGTACACTTTTACAAGGTACATTGTACACCTATCATCAGAATTATCTGACAAATTGTCTATGAGAAGTAATTAAATTGTAAGTATGATTAATTTATAATTTATCTCCATGGTTAAGTACCTTATCAGGCTTGCAAAAGTTATAAAATGAACTGTTGCTGTTTTGAAACTTATGTTTTCGGTGCCATCCATCAGTAATGTTACAAAAAGCATTATTGGTGTTGTGTATTGTGGTGGCAGCCAAGTGCTCGCCACACGCCGATATTCTTGAAGAATTGGCTAAAAATTCAAATACTAGGATAGTTGATAATATCTTAGAAGATGCTGCTTTGGATGTGGTAAGTTTTAAGCTGAGGTTTTACCTTAAAACTGAAGGGGTGCTATTTTTTGTGAACAAAGGTTAAAATGCCTATGTACTCGAATTAATTCCAAGGTTCCGAGTCAGACAAGAAGAGAACGAAGCGTTGTAGTTTTGCTATGTGCATCCATGTTAAAAGTTAAGAGGGGTTGATAATTTCATTTTATCGTCTTACCTCATCATGTGGTGTGTCGTTGAAAAGAACATTTATCTTATTTCAGGGGTATGTTGATGTTAAGAGCCAATATTTTAATTGAATTATGTAAACGTCAAAAAGGTTTTGCGCACATTTTTAAAGCCAAAGTAATATCAATCACATATAGGATGTACCAGGTCTGCATTTTCTCCTTCATATTTCTTATAGAAACCAAATACATAAAATCCATTTTTTATCTTCGAAAATACCCCTTTTTACTGCCTTAGCTAGCTATTTAGAGGGTAAGGTTAAATTTGCCTCTAAGAAGCTGTGTACTCAATCTCAATCTATCGAGAGAGCATTTGACATCGGCCCACCACCGACTGCAACTTTATAAAACGCAGGTTCGCTCTCACGTGAGGTAGGTACCGTTCTCATCTTTAGGCGGGGGCGGACCAGTATCAGCTTTTCATTCTGGATTACATCCAGCGCCGAGCGTCTCGAATCTTCGATTACCTGAACCTTTCCGATCAGCTTGATCTTCCTCCTTCTTTGTGCGTAGTGTGTAGCTCCGCCCTGCATTTTTCTAATTATATTTTCACGAGGAGTGTTCAGGGGAATTGTTCTGTTTATATCCAGCTTGTTTTTATATGATTTGCATTTGGCCCTTAGATTTAGTAAATCTCATGAAAAAATTAGATCAGTAACGAATGATTTTATACGGCCGCTCCTCGAAGCTCTTGGAGCCGCCGCCCCGGGCTGTGGCCTTCTTGGCCCTAGGGTACATACGCCCCTGGACGTACCTAGCTAGGGTTTTTTTAATAACTGGCCCTACCAAACGTCCACTTGAACTAACTTTCATTGGGAAATTTGCAATAGTAGATTATGCACTAAGGGGATAAAGCAGTGTCTTACGTCACGGACAGCATATTGGACCCTGAGCGTAACGAGGGACTCTAGAGTTAACTTCCGAGCGCAACGAGGGAGTTATGTAGAGTCCTGAGTGAAGCGAGGAGTCCAATATGCTGCCCGTGACGTAAGACAGGCTTTATCCCAGAGGTGCATACTCTACTTTTCATACCTACTGCGAGGCAATTAAAACCCAGGACTACATAAATAAAACATTTAACATTTATTTTGTTAAAAGTTAATATTGATATTGGCTACATTTGTCGAGTTATGGAGGGACAGTAAAATATTTTTATTAGGAACGTTTAAGGAAGTTGTGGTGGAGTTTATTTGAGCAGTACTTAAACATTCACGAACTTGTGACTGATCCTCATTTTGGAATGTGACCGTTGGTGACGCTGCTTGAGGCAGCGAGTTTTCTGACACGTTATTTGATGTCGACGACTGTGGGAGCAAAGGTGTCCAAGGATCAATAATTTTCGACGATGTTTTTTGGTGAATGTTCTCATTAATACGGCAACTTATTCTATTCTTATTATGTATTGAATTTTCAATGTAGCCCTCCGCTACTGTATCGGATTTCCAGCCCCCGTGTCGTTTTATCTGGGCTATATCCGCTCCTGAATCTGCCAAAAAAGTAGCTGATGTCCTCCTAAAACAGTGGCCTGTGTAGAGTTCTGCGTTTGGCAATTTTAGGTATTTAGCAATTTCCTTCGGAATAGCACCAATTTTATTTTTGCCAATGACTTGTCAGGTACATTTGCCATTATTATAAGATATGAAAAATCTGTTAGTGTTAATGTTAGAAGAGCGTAGAGCTTGATACTTTTCGACAATTCTTACTTGCTCGCAACAGACTACGAATGACCGTTCTCTCTTTGTTTTGGTATCTGGCAAGCTTATCAATAATAACTGATCTGAATGCTTTTCTATATCTTCGACTTTTATGTTAAGAAGTTCATTACCACGACAAGCGCCATTCACTCCAAAAATCAAGGCTACCTATAACAAAAGACAACATAAGGATTTACATTGTATTTAAAATAAATTTGTGAAATTTTCGCATTTTTAATATTAGTGTGAAAAATTCATTGAATATGTAGATATGTACTCACTTTCATGGCCAGAAAGATGTGATCTGTGGCTTCATTTAGAAAAGTTTCCACATTTTGAGTTGAAAATACTTTCGACTTTTTTGCCCGGTGCCCTTCCGATTTCCTCTTTAAAAAGCCAACAATCTAATATGTGTTGATTTGTATATTGTGTTTGATGCTGATTGTAGATCTGAGCATTGAATAAATACACCATAGGCTGCTTGGCTTCCAAATTAATCCTAAGTAATGGAAATAAACCAAAAGGACGGATTCGGACACAGCCTTGACTCCTTTTGTTTCTCTCCATGTGTTGAAATCTTCATACACTTTTTCATAATTATTTTTTGATTTTTCTGGTAAGAGATTGTTAATAATCCCTAAAGCGTCTAATTTAATAAGATCCGGAGTCAAATTACTCTCGCTCGACGACATTTTGACACGTGAGAATATTAAAACACGGAACTGTTAAAATAACTTGTAGTAGGTACCTACTTATTTTACGTTTTGAAAATAGCACCAAACACTGGCTTTCGTTTGAATTTTTTCAATCGCGTTTTTCTTTTGTTATTTTTAGGTGGCCAGTTCGATTTTCGAAAAAAAAATTGTTGAAAAACTCTATGATAGATACGTATCTATTAGGAGTTTCTATACGAACGTTAACGTTCCAAATTCAAATCACTTTAAGCCCTTGGGAGTTTCATACAACATTATCTCCCTTGGGAGGCAATGACTTGCTTAACGTTGAGATTGCGTGATATATAATCGGACATTGTCGAGCAGGTAGTATGAAATATCATTTTTCAAGCATTTTTTTCGATGACGGGGAGAAAATATGCATTATATCCACGACAATGACCAACGCCGCGTTGGCACTTAACAAACCCTCGCAGCACAGGTAATTGCGTCGTGCATTCGGCAAGCGGAAAAAGTGCGGGTATACTTTGACGTGCACTCACGCAAGCGTGGCATACGTCAAAACACCCCGCCTTCGACCAGCAGCCCGGCCCGCACCCGCTTTAGCCGATCTTGGGCTTCTCCGTTCACAGCGTCACCTGTACCCTTAGTCTAGACTAGTCACACGGACCGCAGTCCGAGCGGCTCGCCAGCCGACCTGCTCCCGTGGCTACCAGGTAAACCAAATCCCCGATCTACCCCTCACCCTCCATAAAGTAAAGCGTAAAGTAACTGCGGGATCCAGTTAAAAGGAAATATAAGGAGGGTTTCCAATTTTAAGAGTTAGGTATTTTAAGTACATACCTAGTCGGTGAAGTTACACTTACGTAGGTACAAATTATACTGAATATTGTATATCCTAAGTTGTGTTAGTACATAAGATAGAATGTTGTCAGTTGTGTTTAAATGGTAGTTAGAACCGGCACTTATAAAATGAATAAAAACAAAAAATAATTTCGCTCTTAAAGCTTAATAATGTTAACTCGATCCCTAATCATGAAATTGATTTGATAAATATTCAATTTATTTTTTATTTTTTATCCAATTACACCCACACCGTGTTCTAAACGTAAAATGTTTAATTGTAATATAGAATCATACGTAGCTATTATTATTGAAAGACCTAAGTAGACTTATATAAATTATCCAATACCTAATGGTGAAGAACTTTTCGAACGGACGTACATATATTTAATAGAATTATTAATTTCAGCCGGAACTAGTGAGGAAGTACGGGTATCCTTTGGAAGTCCATACACTGACCACCGAGGATGGATATATTCTTGAAATGCATCGCATTCCTCATGGCAGAGATAATAATAACGTACCTGGACCAAGACCTGTTGTATTCCTAATGCATGGTCTGCTTTCTTCGTCAGCTGATTGGGTTGTGAAGGGCCCTGGCTGTGCTTTCGGTAATTAAATATCTAATCTTTGCTTTAAACTCCACTGTATTGGCGTACCTGCCTAAGTTTATCTTTGCAGGACTCTACACACACCATACCTGCTAAACGTGATGTGGAGTTATTTTAAAGGCCTTTTTAAGAAGTAAAGTTACCTACGTACAAAACGGATATTAAGTTTAAAGTAATCGTACTTAATAGGTACTAGGTACCTACATATAACTATGAAAGAATGTGTTCTGAGAGGTATACAGTCCAAGATGCATGATGACGGTCGGCCACTTTTACATTAACTGACTTTCTTTCAGTTCTTATTGTAATATTTCCTCACACTTTTGGCAGGTCGCATTTTCGGTGATAACTATCTATTATCTACTCTGAGTTGGGATTGGTGTGATTGAGTCTATTTTAGGCTCTTTGAATAGACACCTATTTATTACATGTCATATTTTTTTATTACAGGGTACATTTTGGCCGAAGAAGGCTTCGACGTATGGATGGGTAATGCCCGCGGCAATTACTACTCGCGCAAACATGTCCGTTTAAACCCTGATGCGCTGCTGAGCACAGCGTTCTGGCAGTTCTCATGGGACGAAATAGGCAATATCGATCTACCAACCATGATTGATTATGCCCTCGAAAAGTCCGGCAGAGACAGGCTTCACTATGTTGGGCATTCCCAGGGCACTACAGCTTTCTTCGTCATGGCTTCTCTTCGCCCTGAATATAATGCAAAGATAATATCTATGCACGCATTTGCACCTGTAGCATATATGGCTAACAACAGGAATCCGCTTTTCCTGCTTCTGGCACGCCATGCAAATAATATAGAGGTATGAACTGCTATTTCTCATATTCTGTTATCATCTTAACGAGTAGGTATGCTGGAAATTATTTAAGTACATACCTAATTTTGTTAAGGTAATTTGTTTAGTTATGTTTTTGTAGGTACCATAAGTACGCAATTTTTTTTTTGTTTTGAGTTGTATGCTGTTGGTCCCAGATGACATTTATAGCGTTACCGGGTTTAGGGACGGCGAGATCCTAAGGGGACCTCAAGCCGAGAATTGACGAGTGCCTCTAGAGGTATTCCAGGCGGATGGCATCTTCCCACGGGGGGAGTCTCCTCACCGTCTGGAGCCTCTAGACCATTTATTAAACAGACATTTAGTGTCTTATTAATGGGGATATTAGAAAGGTGATGATGATTAATAACGTCACATTTGGTATTGATTAGACCCAAATAGTCCGGTTGCTAGCCCATCGCCTAAGATGGTTTCCATAAATACCAAAACCATAATTTGTTTTCCCTATAGGTTCTATATATATTCTAGGATATATTTCAATGATCATCGTGATTCGTAATCAATCTGTTCAAGTCTTCACTGCCGCGACTCAGGCCTTCTTTATGGACGTAATCTTTATAAATAATATTATATGAAATTAAAATTTTCAGTTAGCTCTGTCGCTAATTGGTATTGGAGAGTTCTTGCCCAACAATCAAGTGATGTCTTGGGCAGGCCAAACTTTGTGCATGGATGAGACTGTAACCCAGGCTCTTTGCAGCAACATACTCTTCTTATTAGGCGGATGGAATCAAGATCAACATAACGCTGTAAGTTTGTAAATAAATTAAAACTGACAAGCTTTTATCTAGTAATAAATAAATATTATAAAACAGTGGGTTATTAACAGTTAAAATTGTTATCATTCAATCATCTTATCTGAAAATTATCTAATAAGGGTTGTTTAAGTTATGAAATAAGTACTTATTTTATTGGAAGTTTAAACGATTTTTGTCTCTGTTGAAAGTAATCGTAATTTAATTATTGGACCACAGACCACCACAAAACCACAGAAATAAATTCTGTGTTTTACGCAGAGCGATGGCAGATCGATTATGTAGATCAGTGGTTCTCAAACTTTTTAAATGACGGAACCCTTTTGGGAAGCAAAATACTTGATGGAACCCTACAATAAAACAATTATTTTTATAAGTGTATTCTATATTAATCAGCATAATAAAAGTACAATGTATCCGTTACTAATTATTATTTACTTCACCACTTGGTAAGGACAATAATAGAAAACATTAAAAAAGAAAAAATCTAACTAGTGGGAGGTATGAAACTGTTTTTTATTTTTCATCAATTGCTTGATATCAGGTTTGATGGAAGAAAGTTGGAGTCTCATATCAGCTTCGGCGTCCAGTCTATTGCGATATTTTGTTTTCGTGGCTGCGTAGGTAGAGAATCCTGTTTCGCACAAATATGTAGTTGGGAACGGGAGAAGAATATCCAGAGCCATTTGGCCAAGCATTGCATATTCATCTTGGATTCTGCACCAAAAATCATTAAGAGGCGTCGTTTTGAACAATGACTCCATACTTGTGTCTGATGACATTTCTAAAAGAGATTCATATATCTCATTTGACATGTTTTCAGGCTTTTCCAAGTTGGGTAAAAAAGGATTATGAATCCAGGAGTTCACTTTAATTTTTGTATTGTGTTCTTCGGGAAAATACTTTTCAAAAGATGCGCGCATCGAACTGAGATATTGGACCAATTCTTCAAACACATTATCTTCAAACATTTCTGAGTCGTTTTCGCTAACAAACTCAGTGAGTAACGTAAAACTTTCTATTTCTTTCTTACCAATGCAAATGATCCAAAAATCTAATTTTCTTTTAAAAGTAGTTATTTTATTATAGGCCTGAAACACTGTTGTCTGTTTACCTTGCAATGATAAATTTAATTCGTTAAGTTTTTGAAAGATATCCGCCATAAAAGACAATCGGAACAACCAAGTTTTATCATACAAACGGTCCTTCAAATTAAAAGAAGTATCTGCTGAAAGAAACATTTGTAACTCGGCTCTAAGTTCAAATAGCCTTGTTAAAGTTTTTCCCCGAGACAGCCATCGCACTTCTGTATGGAGCAGTAGTGTTTTATGTTTGCTGCCATAATCTTCACACAATAATGAGAACAATCGGGATTGTAGTGGTCGTGATTTGATAAAATTAATTATTTTTACCGCTTCATCCATAACTAATTTTAGATTAGACGGCATTTGCTTCATCGCAAGTGCTTGTCTATGCAGAATACAATGACTGGAACTACAATTAGGCGCTTTATTTTTCATTCGTGACACTGCTCCTGCTGTTTTACCTGTCATCGCCTTGGCCCCATCTGTACAAATGTCAATGCAATTGTTCCAACTGAGATTATGTTCTTCAAAAAATATATTTATTTTATTAAAAATTTCTTCCCCGGTAGTGTTTGTAAGCAGCGATGAACACATAAGCATGTCTTCTTCAAAAGAACTTTTATATGGATATCTCACAATAACCAGCAGGATAGCCAAACCAGCGACATCAGTCGACTCGTCCATTTGCAAAGCGAATCGTGTATTTTGTAGACGTGTAACTAGTTCTTGTTTGACGTAGCTTGCCAGATCATGGATTCGTCGTGAAACAGTATCGTTTGATAGCGGAACAGTAGAAAGATGCTTTGCAGATTTTTCATCAAGCATACATTTTGTTATGTCTAATACACATGGTTTTATTAATTTCTCAGCGATAGTGTGCGCTTCACCTGCTTGTGCAATGCGATAGCTAACTAAGTATGATGCCTCCGTGGCCTTTTCGTTGGTAGTTTGTGTTACATGCATCATATTTTTTTGACTTTCTAATAACTGATCTTTTTTGCGAACAAAAAATTCTTTATTCTTGTCTTTAGTCTCGGGGTGTACGGTTTCTAAATGTCGACGCAATTTGGCAGGTGCCATGGAACTATTAGGAAGCAGTTTACTACAGAGCATGCAGAGAGGTGAGCCGTTGGAATCAACAAATCCGAAACTGATATAAGATTCATCATACTTCCTTTTTTTCGTCTTTGAAACCGTCGAGCTTGACGTCGTGGCACTCGTGGCATCATCTTCTGGATCGGTGATTGCTAAATTCTCCGCGCGCATTGCTTTTGAACATTCAGCGTCATTAGAAGATGTTGTTGGAACACGTTTAACACCTTTAAGCCAACGTTCCATTCTTCTTTATTTATAATGTTACAAGTCAGGATAGTGGGGTTTAAATAATGCACAATCGTTACTGCGTATAAGAGACTAAATTTAGAACCTACAGGGAAGAAATGTATAAAACTGAGACAACAGAATACAGCAGGCAGTAAAACAATGAACACCAGTTTCTCGCTAGCGAGCTTGTAAGTAGGTAGTAACTTATCGCTCCGAACGCTAATCATCAACTGACGACGCCAACGCGCGATCGCCGCTTTTATACTTAGTCCTAGACTCGATCTCAAATATTCTCGAAAATACTCGAGTCGGCACCTTTGATAAACAAAAAGCAAAAATAAAAACAGAAATTTAAAAATAGCGTTGTAAACAATATCGACTTTATCCTTTGAAGTTAGAGACGAAAGTCGCTAGTTGACAACTATAGCGTCTAATTCAGAGGCGGCTTTTATCAAAGAGACTGAGCGCTTACAAGTATACCTACCCGCTCGTTTTAAGTTTGCCGCTGGCGATAGGTATGAGTGTATGACGTTCGAAATTTTTTATTTAATTGTAACAATAAAAATTGTGTACGTTAGATATTTGGGTAAAACTATGACACATTATAAGTTTTGTTGTCACGTGGGGGAGGGTACGCGCATTCCACAGACCGGCAAACTTAGAGCGAACGCGTTGTACAAGTATAAAATTGTTGAGACCAAACTTATGAGATATTGTACCAGCTAATGTAACACAAGCTTATACAAATACAAATAAATAAATAAATAACATTCATAGCGTTTTGTCTCCGCGCGGCCGCGGAGTCCGCACAGCCGCGGAGCGACCAGAGAGAGGTGTTTTGATTTTTTTATTTCTAAATTCTTGCGGAACCCCGACAGAGGTATCACGGAACCCTAGGGTTCCGCGGAACACACTTAGAGTATAGCTGATGTAGATGATAGTCATATCCAAATTCTTTACCACTTGAACCTACAGAAGACTTTTTTTTCAGACATTATTGCCTTTGAAGTTGGGACATACGCCAGCGGGAGCGTCATCCAGACAAATAGTGCACTACGCTCAAGGCATCTCCGGTAAAGAATTTCGTCGGTACGATCACGGCGGTATCATTTCCAACAGGAGAGCTTACGGTAGCAGGCGACCACCGCGTTACGACCTAAGCCGGGTAACCACACCCGTTTTCCTTCATTACTCCGCCCATGATCCCTTTGCTCACGTCAATGACGTAAACAGATTGTTCCATGAACTTGGCAGACCCATCGGCAGATTCCGTGTACCTATGCCTAGATTCAGCCATCTCGACTTTATTTGGGGTATAGACGCGAAAGATCTTCTGTATTTTAGAACTATCAATCTTATTAGATCTATGGAGGCAAACACTTTCTCCGATGATGTAATGATTGATGAATAATGTGGACTATAAGAGACTGTTTTACACCTACCTACATATTTTGAAATAACTCGGACTGAATGTGTATGTAAGTGTATGTATAAATGATTTTGTATAATTAATGTGTTTTATTTCAAAAGGACCACCGCTACCACCTGATCAATCAAAACGCTCTCTGGTCTCTCTCTTTACACAAAGGCGTGCCTGTACGGTATTGTATTTCATGCCAGTGAACGCATTCTGAGTCATTTTATGTTTTATTTCTTGAAGGTTATCTAATCATATTTGTATTTATTTTACTAGATAAATGGGATACTTCCCATGATACAGGCAGTACTTACTTTTGGGCTAAGCCAATTGGTGTGACATGTGAGTGTTAGTATCTTTAATTTATTTTAAAACATGGATAAATATATAAACCCCTTGGGTGGCAGAGAACTTTCATTCCTAGAAAACTATGTAGTTATTTAACTCTTTTTTCAGATAAGTATGGGTTTTATTTTCATTTTCAACTAATCCTTTTAAGTTTTTTGATTAACTTGATATGGTTTTGACTAATATTTATTTTGCAGAAATCGAAAAGATGTGTCTATCTTTTCTTTGCTCAGTAAAGTTTATTTAAATGTGAAATATCTGCCTGTGTTAGATTAAAATAGTTTTAATCTTAGTAATAGAAATACATAAAGCAAATATGTTGCTGTGTTCACTAAAGGCAGGTACTGATAGGTATTAAATGAATAATTTTAATGTTTATATTAAACATTATTTTTAATACGATATCTTAAGCTGGCTATACCTACACAGTATCCTAATAATAAGTACCTACCTAAGTCTTTCAATAAACTGATAATGAAAGACACAAATCACGATAAAAATCTTTAAATCGTACTGATTTTCGCATTACATTGATACGGAAGCCCTCTACTGTTTTCATAAGGGATTAACATATTGACAGTTCTTTCGTTGCTGTAAACAATATTGTTATCTTTATCAAAAGCTAATCCGTAACCATTTTCGAGCAGTAATGTATTAACTAATTTCTTATTGTCGCCGATTTTGTAGATTCCATCTTGCGCTATAAAAAAAGGCAAACCATTTATATCTGTAGTGGCACCTCGGATGTTAATATTTCTATCGTCGTATAATACAGCTGATTTTGTACCTTTATGTAATATATAAAGACCGGCTGTATTCACAAATATAATATTATTATCGGCATCAATAGCAAAGTGGAGTATTTCATGTTCTTTTAATTCTGGTAGGATAGCCACTTTGTTGTTTTTATAGACATGCAAGTGTTGAGTTGCAGTATCTACGAAATACAAATATTTGTGGAAGTACATATCAAAAATATCGATATTAGCGATTAATGCAGGCTTCACCACATCTTTTGTTTGGTAATTGAACTTGTATATACCGTCGCTGCCGCCGAGGTAGACGGACCCAGTCGTCTGATCAATTGCGCTCGCAAATCCATTCCGAATACCAGGAACAATTGCAGTGGAGCCGTCGTTGAGTTCTAATATGACTGAGTGAAAGCTTTGTTCTGAAAATTCATCTGCATTTATGCAGAAAAATAAATTATCTCTAGATCTGTCCAAAGAAAATTTGTATGGTATATTAACGTCCGCTAAAATGATCTTTTGTGTAAATGTTCTTCGACATATTTGTTCCATTGCATGATGTGGGAATGCACACATTATTTACTGTCCCTTCTCTCATCTACGTATCTTGATAATTTTTTTTTTTAATTTGCATATTTTCAGTAACTTGTATTTTCATTTTTAAAAATTAATAAAGATGGATGACGTAAGATTGACATGTCATGATATTTTCTAAATCTTGCCATCTTTTTTTATCGACAGGTGAAAGGCTATTTGGTTATGCGAATTTTTTTGCGATACTGACCTCTATACTAATATTATAAAGAGGAAAGATTTGATTGTTTGTTTGTATTCAATAGGTTCCAAATGTACTGGAACGATTTTAAAAATTGTTTCACATTTAGAATTCTACATTATCCCTGATGAATATATAGTGCAGTCATTGAAGCATTATTGGTCCGAATTTTTTTACTGTGAACCGAATTGCATACAATTTTGGCATTAGGTTCATTAAGATGAAGGGTAAGCCCTTAATTTCAAAAGTGAAAATGATTTGAACTCCGCAACCACCCTGGGGGTGGTTGCCACCCCTTCTCGGTGGTGAATTATTTTTTTTTCAAAATAACCTCGGATATCGATAGAAAGACTAATTTTAAGCAAAAAATCATCTATACAGTTTTTCCAAAACTTGAATACTTTTCAAGATATTGGCAATTGAAAATTCGAAAGTTTTTCCCGTTATCATCGGTTTTTTGCAAATATCTCCGAAAATTTTATAAGGAACAAAATTGTAGCAGGTGAAACAATGAACAATTTGGTTTTTTATAAAGTATTCTAAGTGCAATATTAAGCTAGATATTAAAGATCAAAGCCGTTTTTTATTTTGTCTAAAATTTAATCGATGTGGTCAATGCCATCTAGCGGCGAGCAGATGCATTTTATGCATTCTAATACACAATAGTTTTGTAGTGCTTAAAATAAGCTTTAAAATGATCACTATTAAAAGTCTTTTGCACGTAAAATAAGTGAGCTGTATTGCAAATAAGGGGAGCATCTAATGTTTTTTCTTTTAAATCAATGGGTTGCATAAGTGCCATTTCCACCAAAATTAAAATTAATCGTATTCCACCTAGAATTAACTTTATTATGAAGATTTTGATAGATAGTATCAGTTTGGCTGCTTCAGGACCCATATTTTTCAAAAAAGTCACGATTAAAAGAAACCAAAATTTCAAATTTTTAAAAAACCCACTTCTTTTTCCTAATATCTCAAAAATGACGACAGATAGGTATAAAAGTGTACAATTTAAAAATTTAGGTATTTTTCTTACAAACAAATTGTTTTTTTTGTTTTTTCTGTCAAAATAAAATTGACAGAGATATGATTGTTTAAAGAGCCCGTGGCAGCGCAATCACAGCCTCTCTTAAGCCCTTTAACCCTTCACCGTTTTAGAAAAAGGTTTTTTAATATATATTGCAATGAAGGATGTTGTAGCTCTCTTAATTACCTTTACAATAGTTTTACATAAATTGTGATAGCATGAAAATTGAAGGAGTTATGGTCCAAAAACTTATCATATTTTTTTCTACTTAGTAACTGAAAATTTTGGAGTGTGAATATTTGGAGCAATGTGAAAGTACGCAGTATAATAGGGACCCACAACTATTGTAATGTGTATATATATACATAATATGGCTCATATACTTTGGAAACGTAGGCATGAATACATACCAACGTTCTTATATGTATATATAACACATTTCATCATTTCATCATCATCATCATCATCATCATTCATCCAACGGATTGGGGGTGGGTCATGAATGACGGTTTATTAAATCCACTTAAGTCTGTAGATCCACCCGCACCACAACTGCAAAAAAGGATGTGGAGCGTCTTGCGGATGCAGAAAAGTTGGTCTGTTTTGTAATAGTACCTGTGGAACGTGCAGTGGAGATAACTGCCAAAATAGCCCTCCAGTTCAGTCAGAAGATGTTGAATGTGACAGCGACTCCGACATTGAGTCATGAATAATAATATTATATTTTAATAGTAATAGTACAATTTTATATAATTAGTAAATATTTTATTCAATAAATAGCAATTTTTTACTCTAAATTAAATTATTTTTAAATATGTAATATATATATATATATATATATATATATATATGGGTTGAAAATGATTTTAATGTGAGGTAATTATGTTAGAAAATACTTTACAATTTCATCACTTACTATTAGACATGTTTTCTAGCGATAAAATGGCTCAATGTCAATTTTTCCATTAAGGGGTTGTTTACACCCCTTAAAAATAATAGGCGGAGTTCAGATCATTTTCACTTTTGAAGTTAAGGGTAAGATGAGCCTAATTCCAAAATTTCATGCAAATCGGTTCACAGTAAAATAATTCGGAGGTAAGGCCGTATTTTTCGCTTCAATGACTGCACTAATAGGCTATAGAGTGTTTTCAAAAAGATAGGGTTCCTTATGAAAACTTCGATAATGTTTTCGACAATGTGTGAAAAAAATTACCTTCTATCGCGTACGCTGCGGAAGTTGTAGACAATAGAGCAAAGTGATTTACTAAAGTTTTATAGAAAATAACAATAATTAAAAAAAAGTTCGCGGATTTTACCCGCGTTAATTTGAGGAAAAAGGTACTATTGAGTCAAACTTAAAAGATGGACAAATGTTATCCCGGCCTTTTTTATAGAACTTTTAAACGGAAACAATTTCACCATAGATAATTTTTGTGTGACTTAAACCATTTACCCAGCGCACGCTACGAAAGCTCACAAATGGAATATTTTTGCCACATTTTGCATCTATGCTCCTTTCCTACTGGTCCTAGCGTGATGTGACCTATGACTTTCCTCGATAAATGCGCTATCCAACACATTCTTTTTTAATTGGACCAGCATTTTATGAGATTAGCACGTTGAATCAAAAAAAAAAACAAACGAACTCTCCAGCTTTATGATATTAATGATTTTGTATAATTCGTGGCCACTACTATTGCATATTTTAACACAAATACGTAGTTAGATGGACGTAGAATTATATTGGACGAACTCCGTGGCCGAATGGTTTGTACGCCGGGTTTCAAGGTGTCGCCTACTCGAGAGGTCCTGGGTTCGAATCCCGGTGGGAGCAGATGTTTGTGTGATGAATACGAGCATTTGTACTCCAGTCACGGATGTTAAATATGTATTTCTATATTTTTTATTCTTAAGACTCGGTAGCTGATACAGTCTTAAATATTTTTTTTAATCACTTTTTGTTATCCAAAAAGTGATTAAAAATTCCCAAGTTTCACATAATTCAAAAGTTATCATGAGTGTAATATTATATGAGTGATAAAAGTGCTATCATTTTGCGTCTGTACACATCTATGTGTACAGACCACTGCGTCATTAGATACGTTCAATTATGAGACCATGGACCAATGATTTCCCAAGAAAAATTGTATTAGATAGCTATTGGATAGCTGATCAATCCGATGGCAACCTCGTTAAAAATACTTTTGGGATGCCATACTTAAATACTGTATAAAAGTTAAAATGATTTATTGTAAGTATTAGTTCTTGTTCTTGTTTATTTACTCTTTTGAGAAAGGATCCATTCAAGCTATATT